ATTTTTCTTCCATGTGGGTCAGCACTTGTATATTACAAACCAGGAGAAATTTTGAGGCATCATGAAGGGTGCTTTTAACCTCTCTTTGCCTTGAGTTTGAGCTTTTGTGATGGTGAACCATTTAAGCTGGGGTCACACTAGCACGCAGCAGGGGCGGACTGACCATTTGGAAACTTGGGCACTGCCCGAGGGCCCTGGGTCAGTAGAGGGTCTCATGAGATGCCTTTTTCATAGGCTTTTTTTTTAGTTTGGGCAAGGACACAGGGCCCCATGATCCCCTATTGCCCGGAGGCCCCATGAGCTGTCAGTCCGCCCCTGGCCCGCAGGATGCATGCTGGTTGTGGGTGCAGGAATCGCCGAATCATGCTGCTCTTACAAGATAAGAGGGGCTGCCATTCATTCTGAATGGCACCCCACATATATCTTAGTCCACAGTGTGACTGTAGGTTTGGAAATCACAGGGAAATCACACATGGTCAAAAAAGACAATGTGGTATCCCTGCAGTCACATTTTTAAAAAGGTGTGGTACATGCGGCACAAACAAGCCATTCAAATGAATAGGCTGCCATGTCTGAGCAAACACAGGCTGTATGGTCCGCACTAATGTTAACCAGGCGTGAGTCTGAGCCACAGACTCCTTTTTTTCACAGTGTGACTCTGCAAGCCTCTGCAAAAAAGGACCGATGTAGGAACCATATAATTAATATATTCCTATGCCTGCCCCTCATCAAGAGAGAATGCAAGACTGGAGCCTAGTACACAGGATCAGAAAATCAGATGAAAATGACCGCTTTTGAAATGATTGTATGATAATCTGATCTTTAGTACATGGCATTCATCTGAAGTTATTCGAAGGGACAAACAAGTACATTTTTTTTTTTTGCACGATACCAGATTGTACGAGTTTCATTTAGTATTAGTTTGAAAAAAAACCCAGAAGAGCAAGTCCATGCATGCTGAGAAACAAGAGAACAGATTACAATACTTAGCACCAGGGAGGGACTGATAATAATTCGAGCACTCGGGCACTGCCTGAGGGCCCAGGGTCAGTAGGGGGCCCCATGAAATGCCCCTGGTACCTTTTATAGGCTTTTTTGGGTGTGCTTTGAGTGTGGGCAAGGACAGAGGGGCCCCATGATCCCCTATTGCCCAGGGACCCATGAGTTGTCAGTCCGCCCCTGCTTAGCACCACAGCAAACTCTGATGATCCTACCTAAGTTCATACCATTGGGCTTGTGTAGACACAGACCATTCATAGAGAACACATTATGAACAAGTTGTATTTCATTTATTACATTCTGAAGGTCATTGATAATAATGATATTGCAAATGGCGTCTGCAGTAGATGGGTCCTCAGTTATACAAGTCAGGGCCTGGACTGAGTGAAGCTAAACGGGAGGGCCAGCATGACTGGGGCTCGCAGACGAGGCGGAGAATGGATTGGGGGTGGGAGTATATTCAGGAGGTAGGGGTGGTTACTCACCTGATTGGAGTAAGCGAGCTTGAGGGTGGTCTTGCCGGGATAGGGGAGAGGGGTTGAGACTTGTCAGAGGTCAGTTGGAGCTTGTGTCTGCATGGGTGTGGTTTCTCCTGCCCTCCCTTCCTGGAGCTGTTTTGTTGTTGTTTTTTGTGTTTGCTTTGGTTATTGGTTTTGTCATTTTGTGTTTGTCCTGTTGTTTGTTTTGTGTGGGTTCCTTGATTTTCTTTTATTTTCTTGATCAACATGTGGTGTCCTGTGGTGTTTGTCTGGTTTTCTGTTTTGTCATGGCAGCCAGCAGGGGTCCCTGGGTATTTGATGGCGGTGCTGGAGAGTACAATTTGGTGGATTATGGGTTGGGCCCATCCTATGTATGGGTGTTCCTTCCCAATTATAAGGTAACGTTGGTAACGTGAGAGTTCATTGGCTGTATCTGGGATACGTAACTGTAGAATTGTCCCTGAGGCGGTGTAGTAGCGTCTGGGGGCCTTTTTCATTGGGTGTCAGATACAGCCGAGTTATTGATGTGAGTAACAGTGCCTTCAAAGACCTTGGACCCGGTTGGGATCATTACTGGCAGTTATTATTGGATTGTACTGTAAGAAGAAGTGTTATGTTAGAGTTATGTTAAATAAATGGCTGCTATGGCCGGTTTTATACCAATGGAGAGTCGCGTGTTTATTTAGGTGGGGGAGGTTGAAGGGGTGGTTGTTTTATGGATTAGGTGGTAAGTATTTGCCTCGATATTCTGCATGTCCATCAGTCATGTTCTGTACTGTTTTCTTTCTGCAGTCCTATCCAGCTATCGAATTATAAAGTATATTTGGGCATGTTCCAGTATGATTTGATTAGCCCTCATACAGTTATTGCCAATGTAACAAAAATCATCGTCAATAGTAATTATACGGGAATGTCGAGCCCTGGGGACATTGCCCTGCTGCAGTTGGACACGCCTGTCAACTATACTGAGTACATCATGCCGATCTGTCTGCCATCTTTCCACCACCACCTTCCCCTGTGGTATGGAGTGCTGGGTGACCGGATGGGGTACAAGATCTTCTGGAGGTGAGTCCATGAAATGATTTCACTAATTTTCCATACAGAGAGGTCAGGCCTGTCACTTGCACCCAATGGGGGAGATTTACAAAAACTGGAGCACTCAGAATCTGGTGCAGCTGTGCATGGAGAGCCAATCAGCTTCTACAGTTGTGCTCAAAAGTTTGCATCCCTTGTGAGAAATGGTGAAATTTTGGCATTGATAGTGAATATATAATTGCTCATGCCAAAAAACTGTCTTTTATTTAAGGATGATGATCATATGAAGCCATTTATTATCACATAGTTGTTTTGCTCCTTTTTACATCATAATGATAACATAAATCACCCAAATGGTCCAGATCAAATGTTTCTCTCCCCTGGAATGTTTGGCCTTGGTACAGACACACAAGGTGACACATACAGGTTACAATGGCCATTAAAGGTTAATTTCAAACATCTGTGACTTTATAAATTGCAATTACTGTCTGTGTATAAGTAGTCAATGAGTTTGTTAGTTCTCACGAGAATGCACTGAGCAGGCTAAATACTGAGCCATGGGGAGCAGAAAAGGACTGTCAAAAGATCTGCATAACAAGGTAATGGAACTTTATAAAGATGGAAAAGGATATAAAAAGATATCCAAAGCCTTGAATATGCCCATCAGTACTGTTCAATCACTTATTAAGAAGTGGAAAATTCAGGGATCTCTTGATACCAAGCCAAGGTCAGGTAGACAAAGAAACACTGCATCCACAACTGCTGGAAACATTTTTTGTAATACAAAGAAAACCCCCACAGGTAACCTCAGGAGAAATACAGGCTGCTCTGGAAAAAGACAATGTGGTTTTCTTTAAGGAGAATAATACAATGATACTTTAACAAAAATGAGCTGCATGATTGAGTTGCCAGAAAGAACATTTTACTGCACCAATGTCGCAGAAAAGTTACAACATGCCTGACAACACTTTTGCATACCTCACCTGGCTTTTTTTGTGGCATTAGAGCAGTAAAGGCTTCTTTCTGGCAACTTGGCCATACAGCTCATTTTTGTTTTAAGTATCATCGTATTGTGATCCTTGAAACAACCACACCATCTTTTTCCAGAGCAGCCTGAATTTCTCCTCAGGTTACCTGTGGGTTTTCTTTGTACCTTGAACAATTCTTCTGGCAGTTGTGGCTGCAATCTTTCTTGGTCTACCTGACTTTTTGAGTTCAGCTTTAAAGGTGATCTATGTACAACGTATGTATAACTTTTCTAAGAATGACCTTGTTGTGAAGGACCATCTCCTTGTCTATGTTTCATCACCAGGGAGCATAATTGAAAATGGGACCTTGTAATCATCTTCTTGTCTGTTTCATCAACAGGGAGTTTAGTTTCATTAGGGGCCCTCCAGGAGGTCATGGTTCCCCTGATAGACCGTAATACATGTCAAGTAATGTATCACAATGGGGGAAGTACTAGCAACATCCAGTATGATCAGATTTGTGCCGGCTACAAGGATGGGTATAAGGACTCCTGCCAGGTGGGTAACACCAAAAGTATTCCAGCATGGTTCACTGTTAGGCTTGGATTGTCTTCACAGAAAGCAGAAGCAATGCATGGCATCAGCTATTTCCTAGATCTGATCAAAATATTATTTTTTACTTAGCATAGATTGGATCGTTTAGATGTTCTGTCATATTTTTAATTGCTGTCTTTGCCCTCAATGGAGAAATTTCTCCTTGCTTTCTGCCCTTATATTGAATTTCATCTTAACCTCCCTGGCGGTATGATTCTTTCCGATTTTTGGTGCTGAAAGCGGTACCATTATTTTGCATGGAAATATGTAGTTTTTTTATTGTAGGCTGTAATATTTAGGAATAACTCACTGAAATCTGTCTGAACAAGAGTCTAGTACATCCCGGGGATGATAAAATTTTAAACACAAAATCATAAATTATAATGTAATAAATAATCATAAAAAAATAATAATATAATATTAATACATTTAATTCAATAATATAATCAAACCAAAAAACACTGAAATTTGAAATAGAGCGCCAAGTTCGCACATCGCTGAGCAAAGTCGCAGAATCGTTTTTCAGTGTCTGATGACGAATTTCCCCACAAATCATTATCACTCAATTCTGCAAGTGGTTCTGATTTACTATCGCTGTTCTCTAGCTGATCTAAACCGCTTTTGACCTAAAGGGACACTTTTTTGGACGCCATGGACGTTTCTCAGTTTCCAGGCAGAAAGAACAGACAAAATGCAGGCAGGGCACAGGACAAAGCACTAGGGACAAAATGTATGTGAAATTGGTTGAGACCGCAATGTTTTTACTATGTAAAATGTAAAAAAAAAAAAATGACATTTTTTAAAATTTTTAAAATTTCCCGCCGCTGGCGGCGCCTGTACGTCCCGACGTCACAGGGACAGGACACAGAAGCCGGATGCCAGCATCAGCCGGAGGAGATGGCCGGGGACGCTGCAGGGGACACAGGTCGCTAGCGAAGAACAAATGCCGGAGTAGCGCCGCATGGTATTCCCGAGTGTAGCTCGGGGTTACCCTTTTGGTATGAAATGAATTTCTACACTCGGGAATACCGCCAGGGAGGTTAAGTGTATTGTCTCCCTTTTTTTAAAGTGCTGAACAAATCATCACAGGAGGAAATAGGAAATCATTAAAATAATTTACTAGAAGTACGGGGGAAAAGGTGAAAGCTTCTCAGTGTCATCATTGTTGTCAGTTACCTTACCCCCTTTTACGGATTCCTAGTCCTGATGTCATTTGGACCACTGGAAACTAAAGCTAATCTTTTTCCCAGAAGGAGACATATACAGTGAGGACAGAAGTATTTGAACCCCCTGCGATTTTGCAAGTTCTCCCACTTAGAAATCATGGAGGGGTCTGACATTCACATTGTAGGTGCATTCCCACTCTGAGAGACAGAATTTTAAAAAAGAAAATTCAGGAAATCCCATTGTATGATTTGTAAAGAATGTATTTGTCTCGCACTGCTGAATAGAAGTATTTGAACACCTGAGAAGATCAGTGTTAATATTTGGTACAGAAGCCTTTATTTGCAATTACAGAGGTCAGACGTTTCCTGTAGTTCCTGACCAGGTTTGCACTGCAACAGGGATTTTGGCCCCCTCCTCCACACAGATCTCCTCTAGATCTGTCAGGTTTTGGGGCTGTCAAATATTTCTGTTCCTCACTGTAGAAGTCTCCAAATTGCCACATTTCCACCATCGCAAGCCTGTGCATGCTCCTGATCCTTCTTCCATTTAGTAGAGTGAGATTCCTTTTTTGTCCTTTGCCTTTGATTCAAGCAAGTGCCTGAGGAGGAAACAGATGAACCCACAGATGAATCAGATGATTTTCCTTTTTCCTTCCATATTGTGTTTTCAATATCAGATCTCATAGCTGATGATGATGGTAACTGATGGTTGTTGCTGTCTTCCAGGGTGACTCAGGAGGACCTCTGGTGTGTAAGGTATGGGGAGTCTGGTACCAGGCCGGAGTCGTAAGCTGGGGATATGGCTGCGCAAAACGATATTACCCTGGGGTGTACACCCTGTTGACTACATACGAAAGCTGGATCAGCAGCCATCTGGATTTAACCATCAGTAATGTCCTAAACATCACCCCACCAATTCTGGAATGTGGAGGAGACTTCAATATCTATGGAGGAAGCATCCATCTCTTACCTTTTCACTGGACCATCTTAGTTATAGCTGCTCTTCTGTCCTTTTTTCTATAACCAGTCACTGTGAACCTATATCATTAGTAGACTGCAATAAAGGGTTTAATGGACCACAGAGTTCATATCCAAACTTCCCACAAGACTAAGAGGAATAAACACAGCTTGATATTAGTAGGGGGTGTTCTTTTTTAGCAATTTTTGATGTGTATAAATAAAATGGACTGTTCTATGGAAACTGGCTGAGGGATGGATAATACCTTTTAATAAGGGATTTTTTTTCTGAGAATAGGTGCAGGAACTCTCCCTTTCCATATCACTCATTGTTCTGCCCCTTACCCCCCTCCGAGCACTGTTCCTTGGTTAAACCCCTGCCCACCTCCCAGTACCGCCATTTTAGAGAGTACAGAACCAATTATTATTTTTTGGTGATCAGTCATTTGTATATAATTTGTTAATGATAACAAGAAATACAGTAAAATAGATCCCCTGTAGGCAGTAACAATATAGATCCCCAGCAGCAGCAGCCCCCCCCCCCCAGCAACAATAAATCTCCCCTTCCAAAATAAATCCCCCAGCAATAATAACCCCCCCCCCAGAAACAATAGATTACCCCCAGCAAAAATAGACTCCACAACAACAATAGACCACTAGCAACAATAGACCCTCCAGCAACATAAGACCCAAACCAGCAACAATAGATCCTCCACCAGCAACAACAGACCTTCTCAGTACAATAGACACCCCACAAAAATAGGTCCCCTCCAGCAAAAATAGATCCCCAGCAGTCAGTATCAACAGACTCCCCAGCATAACCCTGCATCCTTTGCCATTACATACATTCAGTGCTGGAGGTGCTAGAACTGCATTCCCCCATGTCCCTGCTTTTAATAATAATACATCGCAGCAATTTTCCAATAAAAGTAGCAACAGCCAAAAAGTTAAACTGTGTTTGTTTGACTTTAACCGTTTCAATACCGTGTGATTTTCCACCTTCCTGTCCAGGCCATTTTTCAGGTTTCAGCGCTCTCACACTTTGAATGACAATTGCGCGGTCATACAACATTGTACCAAAACTAAAATTTTATCATTTTCTTCACACAACTAGAGCTTTTTTTGGTGGTATTTAATCACCGCTGGGGTTTTTTATTTTTTGCTAAATTAACAAAAAAAGACCAAAAATTTTGAAAAAAAAACACATTTTTCTTTGTTTCTGTTATAAAAGTTTACAAATAAATAATTGTTCTTCATAAATTTAGGCCGAGATGTATTCTGCTACATGTCTTTGGTGAAAATAACCCAAATTAGGATGTATTTTTTAGTTTGTAGGAAAGTTATAGAGTTCACAAACTATGGTATAGATCTGAATATTGATCAATCCTGAAGTACGGACAGCCAATCTAATTTCTTGAGGTCCAAGAATGTCAGAATAGTACAGATATCCCACAAAACCCCTTTTTCAGGACAGTACAGATATCCCCCAAAGACATATCCCCCAAATGTCAGGACAGTACAGATTTCCCACAAATGACCCCTTTTTGCAGAGTAGACAGTCTGACGTACTTCATAAGAGGCATGGCGAGTTTTTTGAAGTTGTATTTTTTTGTCATAATTTTTCGGAAAATGAAAAAATTAAAAAAATTATTTTCACTATTTTTTTTTTTTTTACATACTGTCACCAGTGCAGTACAGCGTCATCATATAACTGGCATGGCGGTGAACAGGGACACTGACTGGTGACAGTATGAAAAAAAAAATATATATATATATATATATTTTTTTTTTTATTATATTTAATTTTTTTATTACATTTTTTTAAAGATTTTTTTCATATTTTACTATGACCAAAGTAGTACAATGTTACTATGATAACAATGTACTTATCATAGTAAAATATGTAATCTTTAAAAAAAAACAGGTCAGGAGTGATCAGTATTTTTTTTTTTTTTTTATACACAGTTTGCTTATAGCAAAGAATTACTTTGCTATAAGCAAGCATTTACCTGAATGACATCGATTCATTCAGCTTTTATATTTGTTTTTTTTTTTTTTTTTTTTTTTTTTTTTTTTTGTGCTTAGCTGTGATTTGGTCACAGCTAATCACATGACGTGTGCATGTGACCTGCTGTGACCATTCACAGCTAGGCACTAGTATACAATGGATGGCATCATGAATGAAGCCATCCATTGTATACAACTATCATGTGACCTGCTGTGATTGGTCACAGCAGGTCACATGGTACCAGCTACGGGAGCCGGTACTCGGATCTGTCATCGTCCGTGTCCGAGGTGCACGGCCCGTGACAGATCCCGCTGCTGCGCCGCTCTGCTGTGCCGCACTGCGCATGTGCGGGAGCACGCCAAATGGCGTGCACCCGGAATACAGGAGCGCATTTCAAGCCGCCAAACGGCCATTGGCCGGGCGGCTAATGGTTAATAGTGGATATCATTTATGTACCTTTGTGTTTTATACTTGTTTTCTTTTTTTGTTTTCTGATAAACCTTTTAATCACTTTCTCTCCAGGGCATTATAATCTAGAAACTTACCTACAAACATTATATTTTCCAAAAGCACAGGGCAAGGAGGATAAAATGGTGACCATTGCAAATTTTTATGCCATGCAATTTTTGTGCAGCCATTTATCAAACATATTTTCAGGAAGAATACATTAAAATACTTTTTAGTGCACACAATCACCATATATTAACATTTTTTGTAAAATATAAAAGACGGGGTTGCATTGAGTAAATAGACACAAACATTTTTGGTGGCATTTTACGGGTTATCAGTTTAGAGTTAACTGTGAATTATGGCTCTAGAATTATTGCTCTCACTCTGGCGTCCACATTGATACCTCACATGCAACTGCTGTTTACACATGTGTGGGGTCTATGCCACTCTTGCATTTGCATGTGTATGCTAGGGGGATGTGGTTGAGATGGTGGTGGGGGGGGGGGGGCAGATGTGCTTTTACATTTTTACTATTATTTTTATTTTATTAAAATTGTTATTTTTTTTAACATTCTTTATTTTTTTCATTTGATTTATTGTTCCTGCAAGGGGTCTAACAAGCCTGTGATAACATGAGCAGGTGACGGGTACTCTTTGTGGAGACATCAGGGGGTTTATTTACTAAAGCTGGAGAGTCCAAAATCAGACTCACTTCTGCATAGAAACCAATCAACTTCCAGGTTTCATTGCCAAAGCTTCATTGAACAAGCTGAGGTTAGAAGCTGATTGGTTTCTATGCAGAAGGGAGTCTGATTTTGGACTCTCCAGCTTTAGTAAATAAACCCCCAGGTGTCTATTAGACCCCCAATGTCTCCCCTGTACTACAATGCAGCTAATAAAGCACAGATCATGCTTGATTAGCTAAATTCTTGGCTAGAGATGCTGAAGAATGACAACTCTGAAACCGTAAGTGACAATATCATTGTGGCTTACAGGCTCATTAGTCATAAAGGAGATTGAGGAACTGATGTTCTCAGTCTCCTCTGTATCTAACTTTTCTGGCTCTTTATCATGGTCCCAGGCCCCTGGAGAAACAGGATAGCCCAGGAACAACTGTAGGCAGTGGCAGGTTGTGGGGCATGGCCCTGATCACTTTTATTGAACAGCTGATCCCCGGTGAAAAATGTTGCCAAGCGTTGAACTACTTTATCTCCAGGACATTTTAAAACTTCCTAAGAATGTGACGTGGTTAATGTTTCTGGTGTGGGGATTTAAATGTCTTCCAGGTTAACTTGGGAGGACATTTGGTGTGTAAGGTCTAGTGGTACCCGTTTGGAATTGCAAATTGGGCCTACCTCTGCACCGAACCGTATTACCCCAGGGTTTACACCCTGGTGATGGCCTACCAAAATTCAGTCAGCGCCTACCAGCACTCAACATTCAATAACATGTTGGAAATCGGAAATGTGGAGAAGACTTCACCAGTTTTGATTACACAGACAACGGAGGAAGCATTCAGCACCTCGCAATCCTCTCAGCCTGTCTGGAAAAGAAAACCTGCCATTGCCAACACTTCTAAAAGAAACTTCTAAAAGATCTGTAGGCTTGACACACACACACACACACACACACACACACACACACACACACACACACACACACACACACACACAGACACACACACACACACACACACACACACACACACACACACACACATACACATACACATTATTATATCCTTTCCACCCATAGTGGTGACCATCCTAATAATTTTATCAGTGTGAGTTAAGGCTAAGCTCCTGGCAGACAGCTATATACACAATTTAAATTTGGATATGTGAACTGTCTTGCCTATGAAAGGCTTTGTGATCTGTTCAACCAGCTCTGTGATCCAGATACACCTTCCAGGGAACACAGCCAGTTCACTGACCTTACTTTTTCCACTGCAGTAAAGTAGAGCATCTTGGCCAAAGCCACCCCCCCCCCCCCCATACACTAGAGTCTAATGGCTTCCATTGTCTTATCTCCAAATCTGAATGGTACAAGGGATTACAAGGGGGTAATAGCAAGACAAATTGTAGGTACTTCTACTAGTTGGGTGTATTTAAATAACCTGGCCTCTTGAACAAAAATTACAAGAACTATCATGAGGGAAATTCTCTGTTTCATAATTCTAAATCTCTTGACTATGGAACCAAAAACACTCCAGAAAGGAATGCACTGTGCGCTTAAAAGATTTCTTATAGTACTCACCTAGATGACTACATCTATCCCCCATTGTCTCTACACAGAGAACTGAGTGATCAAAAACTGCTGAAATCTTCTTCGGAAATCCATTATGAAACTGAAACTTACAAAGGTATCTATCCCCTGGGTCACCAGAAGTCCTCACTGTTCCCTTCCTCTGACCTCCACCCACTACAAGACACAGTAAGGAACACAGTAATGATGTGAAGGTAAATCATGCAAAGCATGTCTTAAACACCGCAAGTATAGGCAGCTATGAAAAACATTTTTTTGTTGCAATAACAATTCCTTATTACAGCTGTTGGTGTCCCTTGGATGACTGAGATGGCATTAAAAGGCTGGCAAGGTAACTCAAGAT